TGCCTGATCTACCTGGACGATGTCATTGTTTTTGGATGGGACTTTGAGGAACACTTGGGGCGGCTCCAAGAAGTCTTTGAATAGTTCTGCCAGGCAGGGCTGAAGCTGAAACCCTAAAAGTGTCTTCTGTTACTGCCGAAAGTACCCTATCTTGGTCATGTGATCTCCACTGAGGGGATGTGTAGCGATCCAGACAAGATCAGAGCAGTAGAGCAGTGGCTCATCCCTGCCAAGGTGTCAGATGTGAGAAGCTTCCTGGGTCTTGCCTCGTACTATTGCAGGTTCATTGAAGACTTTGCAGAGATTGCTGCCCCTTTCTACCATTTGACAGCAAAATCCACTGAAGGGTTCTGGTGGTCTGCAGAGTGTGACACAGCCTTCCATACACTAAAAAGAAATTGGTGACAACTCCAGTACTAGCCTGAACTGTGATGCGAGTGACTGACATCGGAGCAGTCATTTCCCTAGAGCTGGATGGGAGCGAGAGAGTGATCACGTATGCAAGCCGTGTGTTGGACAACCATGAGCAATGTTAAAGCACAACAAAGAAAGAGATGCTTGCCATGGCGTATGCAATCAGGCACTTCCACCACTATCTGTATGGGAGACCATTCATTGTCAGAACAGATCACAATGCGCTGAATTGGCTACAGAGCTTCGAAGAACCCGAGGGTCAAGTGGCCAGGTGGCTGGAGTTGTTAGCCCAGTACCGCAATAAAACGAAGGTAATTCCCGTATGACTTGGCGAATAATTAATGAACTCATTTCGAGAAAAATCCACAGCTCTTCTGTAAGAGACTAAATTAGATAATAGTAGCACTAATGATCTGCTGGAACTGTTGCCTGCTTTTAATGATCATTTTTCTAGTATTGGACTGAAACTTATCAATACCATCCAACAGAATGGAGACACTCTATCTTACCTCAATTATGTTAAGGAGACTGAACATAGATTCAAACTCAAAACCACTGACTGTTCAACAGTTTTTTCTTTACTACCTAAACTTTGTAAATCTGAAGCAACAGGATTAGATAAAATCTCGGCCTAACTTCTTCGAGAGTGTGCTGATCTGGTCTTTTTCCTACTGAGTGAATGAATGATCTACCAAACTGTCTTGTTAACTCACATCCCAGAATATATGCGGATATTGTATCGTATTCACTTGTTTTCACTTATGTAGCTCGCCCCATTTATGCAGGGTAGCGTTTCTCTTGCTATGATCTTATGCCTTTGTGTGTGTTACTTAGTCACCGCCTTTGTATCGTCAGGCAGCTATTTCTAGTTATAATATTCCTTTATCTCGTTTCGAGCAAGCTCTCTTGTCTTTATTTTGTATATATATTTTGTGTTTGCCGTGGCACTTGGTTCATTTATTAGTTCCTTTATTATGTTAGACTCATTTACGCTGTTAAGTCGCCACGTGTTTAATGGAATACAATCGATTGTATAAGTGCCTTTTTTAATTCCCATACAGTTTATGACATTGATTAAAACTGTCTCTCTAACGTATCCCCTGGATTGGTTGGTATTTTCTCTGGTCGTGATTTTCTTGGCTCTTCATTCGGTCTTAATGTTTGTTTGCCGCAGCAGTAAAATATCACCAATTGACGCCTTTGGCTGGAATTAAAGTTCATTGAGGATGAGCCATAGTGGTAGTCAATCGCCTCGAGCTACAGTTCGAAAGATTCTCTCATTGGAGAAGAAACAAGCAGAAGTTGAAATTCCAAATGAACTATGCGATTTAAAAGATCTTAGTTTATACAAAGCCAATAGTCCTCGTGTCAGGAAACACGATCCTCCAAATTCGAGAGAACTGCATGAACGGACTTTGACTGACAAAGGCAGAGCCTATCAATTGGAAGTTTCCACTTTAAAGAAACAAGAAGCGGAAAACAAATTGCGTAAACATGTTGGAAGAATTTACTCATTGCTCGACTCCCA